GGTTTTTTTGATATCATTAATTCTGATCTTTCAATCGGATGTAGGTACAGTTTAAAGGAAGTTATTATCGGTAAGCTATGCTAATAGATATCTAGTCGTATAATATTCAATATTTTTTCTTTTATTCATCATGTTGAGCTTTTATTACCTGCTGTTTTTAATTAGAAGTATTTTAATGCCCAAGTGATCCATTTGCCCTTTTCTGAAGTTTTATTGAAACTGTTTCGTTGTACCGTGACCTTTAAACAACTGACTCTCTGTGGAGGTAGGTATTTGATTTTCTACTTTAATATTATATATTAAGGTGAAAATATTGCTGATAGTACAACATTAATAAGAAAATATTTGTTTTGTACCCACGCTCTATGTAATCAGGTATAACTAGGCTAACTATAATCATTATCTATATGCGTATCTACACAAACTAATAGTTCTAAAAAATCCCGTCAATATATTTTTTATGGATTACCTGTTGCTTTCGGTACAATAAAAATAATCAAAATCTATTCAGTTTTTGTGACAAAAATACAAATAAATTACAAATACCAATCTAATAATCATACAAATCTAAGATTTCTACGCAAAACACCATTAATCTATTTTCAGAAATACTTGTCACTTGTCACTTTTAAATATATAAATAATTTTTACTAATTTTGATATTTATAATTAATACATGGATTGCATTACTAATAATTTTACATTAATTATTTACTAATTGAAATTTGATTTATGTTATCAGTACGGAATGCTGACAAGAACATTCAAGGGTCATCTTTCATCTTATAGTAGGAGTTATTCAATACCTTCTGTATGTAGGTACATACACAAAGTACATATTGAAAAACTCCTACGAAAAGTCTTTTGAAATATTAAACAAAATATTTTACGCAATGTACTCACGTTGTTTATTTCAATCTATATAAGTATAATATATATAATGCTTATATAAGATAATAAGGTAGTAAAAGTGCAAACTCATAAAAAAACCTCAAGATCATAATCCAAGATGAGGTAGTCAGAGACAACGTTGTAATGAATGGAACAATTAAACACACACACATTTCGCATACTCTCACTACCATCTTAATAAAAACACGACACTGTTATACCAATTTCGTGAGGACAACAGGTGAAGACGTGGGCGAGACATATTATCTAATCTCATTCATAATAAAGCGACATTTTCACTTAAAATGGAATTCGCAGAACAGTTTTGCCAAATAATACAATTTACTTACCTACTTTTTTATAATTAACGTAATAATATGCATAATTACTACGTATAAATCATTATACAGTACGTTTTACTTTTTGAAAATAGCGATTTTTAGGAGTCTATGAGTATAAGTAAATAATTTTAAAAAATGTTGCTGTCAATACCATATTTTCATCCATACCTTTGGAGGCTTTACACTATTTTTTTTTAATCTATACATACGTATCGGAATTGTTTCTAATTTCTTTGAAAAGTCGTCACAATGAGGACACTACTGACGACTATGTTACCATAATGCCATAATGCCTCAAAAAAGCCTATTATATATTTATAATAGTACCATAACTAAATAAATACTTTCAATTACATAAGAAATACTCAAAATACCGGTTCAAAACATTTTGAAGATATGGCGTAACTTATTCGCACACACAAAGACCATCTCCTAATTGCGATCCCCTTAATTTTTAAAATTTAAATTTAATAAATGGAAAACTAGTAGCGACATCTATTAATTGTAAACTCTAACTTTTGCTTAGTCACCACTCATTGCTTAAAAAGCAGCTGCCTTCGTTTTAGTTCAAAAGTAAAATAACAGATGGCATTTGTGTTAACGAATATCACAGATAACATAATTGCGAATATTGAAATAATTTTAAAGCATTTTCAAATGGAAATAAAATTTTTCTTTTATACATATTCATTTTGTAAGATATCGATTTTCTCAGATATTGCCATTTCGGGGGACTAAGATATCATAATCCCGTACCTTGTAATTTCGCACTCTTATCTGAATCTAGAAATAGCCTGCAAAGTTTAACAGCTGAAATATGTGTAACAGATGTACCCATACAAACGACTTTGTATAAAATCTACTCTTTGTATCATCTTTCTATCAACAGAGACGTTCCGTACTAAATTTCTATATATCAAAAAAAAGGAATACGTCTAATAAAACAAAATACAGTTCTTATAAACCTTTAATTATTATAATATTTTTTCTAAGACAAGCTTCACCAAGCTAGGTATAATTTTCCTCAACGGAGACTTCGTGGTGCTACTATTGTACTCCCAAGTCCTGTTTATATGTTCGAAATTAAACGTCAAGTTGTACTGAGCTGCAAACTGCTTTTTCATTTCACATACCTCGTCGCCAATTTTTATATAAACTGAAAGCAATTATACATACTATCATTATAGCAAATGGGTAGATTTTGAATTTAATTGTATTTTTATATTAGATATAGCTGCGCCCTTGGTTTCACCAGCCTGAAATTTATATGTTACACTGATGTCATGAGCCTGCCATCCATCCATCCATCCACACTTACTAACTTCTACGTTTATCATATTATGGAGATCGATTTTGATGATTCCTTTAAACATCGATTTTTTGATGATTGCATTGTCTTATAAAATTATTACCTATGAATTTATGATACCACAGACAATGAAAAGTTGGTGATATTACCTACATAGTGATACTTATCCCATCAGCTTATCTAAAAGTTATTGTGTTAATAATAATTCTAATAATATAATTTTAATAATAATTAATTAGTCAAATATAACAAAATTAAAACATATTCATACATAATAGTCCTATAAGGTCAGGTAAGGAATATTATTATAATCTATATTTATGAATCAAAAATAACTTACAAGAATGCAGACTCATCTATGTGTAAATAAAATTAGTGAACATGTAGCAACCACCCGCATATACTCGTATATTAAAATAGAAACTTGCTGCCTACATTTCCAGTATAAAGTGATTTATTTTTTAATATAACTATGCACTACTTACATCCTTTGCCGTCACAATTCACTTTATGAAGCGTACAGGGATCATCAAATTCGGCAAGATAGTTGTTTTTTTCATCATAGCCACATATTTTGTGACTAGTGCTGCCAGGTGTACAAGTCTTCAATTTATAACAGTGATATAAAGCAAAGTTTTTCACCATACGTGGATTATCAAATGGCTACATAATAAAAAGTAAAATATGAAAATAATATTATAAACACTGGATACTTCACGCAACGCCATCTAGCACTAAGCTAAGCTTGTGTTATGGATATTAGATAAATGATAGAAACACCTGAATATTTTTATTGGAAACACACATAATATACATAGAATCACCCAGCTCAATACAAGCAATCACACTCAGGAATACAAATAAATGCGCCAAGCAAGGAATCGAACCCCTTTGGATGATAGGACTAGCATGAAGACTGATCATTGATCAGGCAGTGAATGGTTGGCCACATTGTGGATATTATTAATTGTATCAATACTAACAATGGTGTCTCTAATTTACTTGATATACATAGGTATCCAACGCAAATTTCGAACATAAAGTCTCGTCAAAACTACAATTAAAAGAAATATAACACAATAGCACTTACATCTGTTTCATTATTTTCACCACAAGAAATGTGAAAAAGCATAACTGTAAAATATTAGAAAATATAACTATAAAATTATTTTATTCTCACACTCTTTTACTATTTAGAAAGTCCCATAGAATGTGAATCAGACATGCATTTTGTCTTATAATCTAAAATGGTATGGTGAATTTAGTCGTTAATAAGTGTTTGTTCTTTTATTTATATAAAAATATTAAATTGATTATTAGTAATAGGGACTAATAATCCCAATGATATTTATGAACCATATTAGATCTACCTCCATGCAGGTTCTTCCCGGAAACTCATAGTTAATTTCAATTGAATTCGACACGATGAGCTGACTGAACTGACTGCGTTCTCATTTCGGTCTTCCACAGTGCGGTTTTCTAGAAACTTTTTGCCTCGCACAACCACATTATGGAATCACCTTCCAGCAATGGTATTTCCGAACCGATACGATATTGAAACCTTTAAGAAAAGAGCTTATTCCTTTTTAAAAGGCCGACAACGTACTTGCAATTCCCCTGGTGTCGCGGGTGCTCATGGGCGGCGGTAATCACTTACCATCAGGTGAGCCGCATGCTCGTTTGTCAACTGTGTTATAAAAAAAAAATTTCATCATCTTCACTGGTGCCTCGCCAGTGTCTGCCGTCATCATCAAATAAGGAAAGCCTTGGTGATAGGGTTATCGTACGCTACATAATCTATGGGTAAATCACACAAATCAAATTCTTACCGAATGCAAATAGAGTTATATTCAACATTGTAATAATTAATTAAGTCGTCGTCGAAGTTTACTCAACTATTAATTAAGGCGCAATTCAATGAAAAGCAATTATATGGATGAATGATTTTATTTAATGTTTATGCTTCGAACATTTCTTTACGCTACCACTTGTTGCAGTGAAATCTGAAAATAATTTTCGAATTACTGTTATCTAACGACCTTGGAATTATGCCACATGATTTTTTAAAATATATGGTTCGACAGCCTCTGCGGTGTAGCGGTTTAGCACGCCGTTTTACTTTACGATGATCGTGGGTTCGATTCTTCGCTTGAACCATTTCTGTTCATGAGTATAATTGTTTGTAGTGGTTTGGGTGTTTTCTATGTGTGTATTACGAATTTTAAAAAAATGTATCAATTTTCTAGTACCCATTACACGAGGTCTGCTTTTGGGACTAGATGGGGCTGAGAGAATTGCCCAGGGCTATCATTGTTATTGTCATACTTTATACAGCTTAAAAGTCAAGTTGCTTGTGGCTTGAATATATATATAAGACCAACGCACTCAGCTTAGTACAGTCTACCTCAGTTGATATGACAAAATGGAAGATTTATGAAAAAAAAATTAAATTACGAACCATGACCAGCTTCACAATTATGCTTGTACATAGTACACTCGCATTGAAATACTCGATACTGACTGACCCGGCGATCTCTACCGCACACGGGATTGTCAATCACGTGACAATACGTGGCACGCCAACACCAGTACTTATTGCTAACAGCCAGGCGAGCAGGCGAGATGCTTGTAGTTTCATGCTAGCAATGAAAAGTAAATTCTCTTAATAAAACCTTAAAAAAATTATTGATAATATTATCTATAATTCGTAATATGCTGGTATTTCCTCAAGGCATTATTCTAGACCCCATTCGTATCTGGCGACTAACGCTTACTATACGCTAATAGAAATGCAAAGGAAATTGTCAATAATATTGACAAGTGAGTTTGTGAAGATTTATGAATGTTTACTACTACTGAACGAATTCGAATTCTATGTCATGATATCTCTTATGATATAACATATTTTCATTCATACAGACAATTCTGCGGAAATTAGCTAGTATAGAATAATACAAAAGAAAACTATGTAGAGTAAGTATAAACCCTTTCTTCCAGGGATTTACTTTATAAATATAATATTTAGTCCTGCGGTTTAATGGTTTAATGCGTTAGAGAAAATGAAAAATCATGGATGGTACTATATTTATATTTATTATATTGTTGTTATATACTATACAAATGATAATTCAAACATCATAACTGACAACGATGATCTTTATTCAAGTCTTCCTACTTTCAATAAGGGTAAAGACTTGCAATCTTCTAGAGCCGTTTTTATGTAATCTACAAACAAAACGATGATATATTTATATATAATCAAATAACAATCCAGCAGACGTGATATAAAATTATTAAAATATGTATAGATAATATTAAATTAATAGTTCTGAATATTTGATAAATGCAAAAGTTTTTAAATCTGTTATCATTTTATTACGTACTAGCTACTTGCCCCGGCTTGGCATGGGTGTATTCTATATATGTACTAGCTGGCCCGGCAAACGTTGTTTTGCCTTAAAATAAAAAAATAAAAATATAGGGGTGGACTACCCCTAACATTTAGAGGGATGAAAAATAGATGTTGGCCGATTCTCAGACCTACTAAATACGCTCACAAAATTTCATAAGAATCGGTCAAGCCGTTTCGGAGGAGTATGGGAACGAAAACTGTGACACAAGAATTTTATATATAAGATAAACCATCCTCTTGAATCATTCTATCTATTAAAAAAACCGCTTCAAAATCCGTTGCGTAGTCTTAAAGATTTAAGCATACATAGGGAAGAACAGACAGAGAAAACGACTTTATTTTATACTATGTAATGATGTTTGTAATGATAAGTTTTCACTGATGTTCAATATATTCGTAATGATTCAATAAAATAAACTAACCAATATTATAAAACAAAAAATTTACAGCTATATTAATTTTATTAAGTTATATAACAAATGTTATGCCATGGGATAACGATATATCATATATTGCTCTCTTGAGGACAAATTACCAAATAAAGTAGGATCGATCAAAATACATACGGATACGTTATATATAAGTATGGTAAGCATATTTTTATTGTTTTACCTGGTTCAGAACATGAAAAAAGCAATGCATTGAGAAACGTTCAAATAATAAGTTCATTTACTTAAAACTGCTAAAGCCTTGTGACCTAATGGTTTATTACCACGACTGTTACTCAAAGATCCTGAATTAGTATCTGTCCGATAATAATTACTCAGGCTAAGCTAAACAGAAATTGTATTATGGGCGCTATACAATGGTTAGAAATACTTTAATAGACTGTTTTTTTAAATACATACAAAGTATACATAGAAAACACCCCTACTGATACAAACAATCGTACTCATTAATACAAATGTTGGTATGTTATAGTAGCTATCGATTAAAAAGTAGATAGATATTGTATTCTTAGCTGTTAAACACAAAGCAGATTATATTGACAAAGCAAAATCTAATTGCAGGTAAATAATAATGAGTTATACTTTCTGAATTCAAGCAATTGTACTCCAACATGTCGCAGGAATCGAAGAACCGACGAAATTGACCTTTCTTATTGATACCACACTTCTGTTTACTATTGTGAAGACATGTTTTAGCATTATAGCAAGCCTGATAAAATAATCAAAATTTATCTATACTAGCATAATTAAAAAAGCTGAGAAAACTATCTAAAAATGTGTTATTTTGAATTTGGAATATGGTTTTTCTGGTTTAAATCGGAATAATTTCGTGTTTTAACATAGCTTTGTACACTTAGTAAATATTGTAATCTTAAGAACTGTCTATAATATGATATTTGTCGCATTACAAGGGGAGAGTGATAGATGAGGTTTTTTAACTAACAACTATCAAAGGTCTCAATACTTTTAAAACCAGAATATGACATAATAACTATATATTTATACTAACAACGTTCGCTTCAACTGAACAAAAACTTGAGATAAGTAACAGCGAACCTGAAATTAAAACCAATACTATATTTATATTTTAAAATTAAAAATAACAAACATTAGATTAAACATTAAAATCTCACCTAACAAAGTTATTGCAAGCCATTGATCCATTGTGAAATTATATAAATTTATTAGCCCTCGCATGAAACAGTAATAAAATTGAGTGTTCATTTTATAGTTTATAGAGCTCTGTACACATTTAACAATAACAATACTTGTAAATAATTTTACTAACAGTCAAATTCTAATAAAACAGATATTTATCTCTCGTCCCACTTTACCCCTTACAGTATAGACAGAGACTATTGAGTGTGAAGCTCTTCAACATTCCCAAAGTCTCATAAGGGTTTTACGCAGTTGTGAGGTATATAAAATATGTCTTTCTATGATTTTTTTATGGATGGTTTTTATTTATTACAATAACGGTCATTCAAATAGAACATACTTTTAAGAATACAGCAGTGTCGATCATGTAAAAATATTAATGTGCATCATTTTTGCAGAAGAAGGAACTCCAAAAAAAACGGTAATCTAAAAATTTTGGCAGTTTGAATTATCTAAAATAAAAACAAAGGATGGCTTCTTTTAGTTATGATAGGTAGATGCATGCATATATTGAATGAAGGAATAATAAAATTTCGATTATTGACAAAATGGTGTTAATTTAAAAAATAAATACCTAATAGTCGACACGTCGAGAGATCTATATTATTCGTTAAAAACGCGAATAACTTTATTAATAAGAAAATTATTAACCCATGTTAGGTACGCCTTTTTTAATAGACTTTACGTCACACAATGCAAATGATTTCATTCCATAAAAAGTTTCGTCCTCACATCAATACTGGTAAGTACCTAGTCACTATATTTTCTGTTATGCATTCTATTACAACGCATTGTGCAGAGACCTTTAAATTTACGTCCGTTTTATCACCACTAAATCATAATACAGAAAATTATTTTTCACAGACATAACACAATTACATAAGTATTTACGTACAAATGTATTTTGCATTTTAAATTTAAACATCTTTTATATCAACAGTTAGTTTTTTTTATTATAATGACATGTCATAATGCATTAATATCAGTATTCATAATTTTTAATATTATTATAGAAACTTACCAAAGGTCTACAAGAAAGGAACTTCAAGTATGTTACCATTGTATAGTACCCGCAACTTCATATGCTTTTTTAGTTAAATATAGCCCAATTTCTTTCTTATGAAACGTCGTAACGCAAATAAAAGCTATATCTATTGATTTATATGTCACGTACTTTCTAGGGATCTTATTTAAATTTTATCTTTTATTTTAATCATTAGTTCGACATTGTATCAATTAATTCAAGATGCAAGTTTAAAATAAAACGCAGCTCTTAATATATCTTTAATAAAGTAACTTTCTATATATAAAAAAAAACGTTAAATAATGTTCGTATTTTTTGGGTATATACATCTAATATACAAACAAAAAATTAAAACTTTCCTCTTTGTGCTAGTAAAATTAGTTTTACAAACTTTTCCTTTACAGCAAATATGTTTGGAGTCAAAGTTTTGCGTGCACACGGGCAAAAGGCGTTGTGGATTGGATTCTACTACGAGGGAAGTGAGACGATTTTTGGATAAATGTGATATGTTCGAGTTTAACTGCCAGTATAAAAAACGTTAGTACCTATTCCAGTAAAACTATTATATTCTATGTAAAATTACACATTACGGAGGCATCAAGTCAAAGCAAGTCCTCAGTTTTGGAAGGAAACGCATTGTTAGTAATATGAACTATTATGTATAGGTATTACTAGCAATGCACCATACGAGGTTGACATTCATGTACATAGTCCCTCTGGAAATTATCGTTATAAATTCCTGGTGAATTTGTCACGATGGGCTAACTAACCTGACCTCATGCACCAGCGTAAACTATTAGTACAGAGCGAGTGTAACGTAGATAAAGTACAGTAAAATGATTAGAAAATTTTTACTACGATATAACGATATATAAAAGAAAAATAACTGGTTTTATTAGAAGAAAATTTATACAATTAGGTAATTTCGTGTACATCAAGTATTTTTTGTGAGTGGTATAACTGTGTGGGTAGCAATTCATTTAGGTTCTGTGGTAAATATGATATATTTTTTATAGATAAAAGATAAATTAAGGTTTCCTCTCCCGTTCAGTACAAACAAATGCCTGAGGTGACTCGTTCTTTTTCGTCTAACAAAAATACATAATTATAGTTTTTTGTGGTAGTGATAAATTACTTTCCGAAGACTGAAGAACAATCTTATATGGAAATAAATCATTTATATTTAGTTTTTATTTTATTGTAGTACATGCTATAAATAGTACCAAGAGACTGTTGCAATACTACAAATGATAAACCAGTTGCTTGCTAGTCGGCCGTCTTGCAATTAGAGAAACCATCATCTACAGATGTAAATATCAACTTGAATATAACAGGATATGCTATTCCCTCAAATTTAGATTTTATATTTTCTATATAATATTATGTTATCTGTGCTACTACTAACAACTAAGCTACATATATATATATATATATACTTATAACTATATACATATATGTTTCTTATATTAGAGAGTGTACAAATTACTATCATATCACATCATACGGTAAAAGAAAGTTTACTGCGGTCATAAATGTACCTAAATTAATAATTGACTAATAATAATTAATTAATTAATTATAATAATTAATTTTTATATAATTTGTTTATTTCAGAATTCACAATTGCAGCAAGTTATAAATGTAGCCACGTACCTCCTTTATAAAATATTTACCAAACCGTCACCAGCAACGTTCCTGGAGTTAGTAAAATAACAGGAAGTTTAGATATAACCTAGACAATAGTCTAGAATTGTAAACATAGTTCTGGTAATAACCTAACTTGCTACAATATCACAACAGTTGTACTTGGAGTTTGGAAGCACAACCTTGTGGAGGAATGATGTCCATAACTTCTGTATCAGGTAACCATACAAATAGTGTTATATACACTATTATTCTGTAATTTGTCTATTATTAAATTGTCTTAAATGTTTTCTATATACAGCATCACATAAAATTCCGAGAACTGTCTGTTCTAAAAATTCAATTGTTATCCCACGGGATTGTATTGTCGGGGCTAAAATGTCCGAATATTTATTATTAATGTCAACATTGTATTATATAATATATTTCTGTGTAATTTTCGCTCGAACCAGCTCTTGTATTTTCCCAATAGAGTAACATATTTTTCCGAGGTAAAAAGTATTTTATACGTTACTTAAATCTAGTGTTATATTTCTGTACTATATTTCACCAAAAGTCGACTATATTTTCAATATTATCAACCAACTACCATAAAGAAGACATTCTCGATTACTCAATTGTTGTTTTACAATCGAAACGGCTTATACTTATATTGTATTGAATACGATACATATACTCTCTATAAAAAAAACTGTTCCATTAAAAAAACGAATAGGCTATGAATACTCGTAATCTATTCTTATTTTATGGAGCAAATGTTCTTGCCCAGCACCACCACCACTTGCCCACCTCATCTTTAATAAGAGATGTGAATGCATATATGATTATTTATGGTACTTACATGCTTATGATTTTTAATCTACTATTATCATACTATGTGTACAAAACAAAGTCGCTGTCGCAGTTTGTCCATTTCTATGTGTGCTTAAAACTTTAAAACAACGCAACGGACTTGGAAGCGGTCTATTTTAATAGATAAAGAAATTCAAAAGGAATGTTTATATGTATAATACATGTACACCCGGGCGAAGCCAGGGCAAGGAGCTAGTTAGTAATAAAATACTTTTTCATAATTATATCTGTCATATTTAATTGTTTTCCAGTTTCTCTTCTATTGGTGTGCTGTTTGTTATGTGTGGCAGCTCATGGGCCACCTCAAGATCGCGACAGCGAGGACATCGCAATGGGGAGGAAGGTAAAAAAAGTAATAACATTTTATTGTATTCAACTTTGTATAGCGTTTCCACCAAAATTTACTTCTTTTCGTGGATTTTAGTGAAATAGCGTTTACGCATACACTTAGATATAGGTTTTTATGTCAGTGGGATGGCAAACGTGCTGGTGGCCTACTGGAATGTTAGCGGCAACCATCGCCTATAAACAGCACACCACACAGATTGCAAACAGCACCACGTATATCACGTAGTGACGTCATACAGCCTGATTTCACCTTTCAACCGAAACACAGCAGAAAAGCAGACAACTTTGTAAGTACAAAATTAACTTGGTATAGGTACAAATTGGTGTACAGACCGTTTAGTCCAACGTAACAATTTATTCCAAACAACCAGAGTCAACTCATTGCTACCAATGTAGCTAACATTGCTAGCAATAGACTTAGAATTAGAAGATGTACTAACTTTTAAAATCCTATATAGTTTACACTATATGGGATTCAAAAAAAGTATATTTACACAAATAAAATAATACATTAAAACAAGAAATAGGACCAATAAATTATGACCACCTATTTGGATTGTATAATATACCATAAAAGTCGTAAATATGGCGTACCTAATAAATCTAGGTCGCAAATGTTCTTAGACAAAAAAAATCATTCTCGTTGTTATCACTTCCGGTTTTTAGAAAGTAGTGGGACACAAGATGGCGTCCTATGAACAGTGATTTGGACAGCTCGCGAACTGAACGGACGAGACGTGAGCGTGTTCCTAATATTAAATTCATAACTATAGTCTATGTTTAACTCCCTCTGATAAATGGATCGTAAGGAGGATGAAAAGATTGATAGAGTGAAAGTTTGGTGATTAACAATTATACTTTATGCCTCTAGATGGGTGCGAAATGGTGCAGCATGGCGCGGGTTTGCAACCATGATCGAGTGCCGATCTGTGGCATCAGCCATGCCGGAGACGTGATGGGTTTCAGGGATCTATGCGACATGTTTGATTTCAACTGCATCAGGCGACGAAGTTAGTATTTACTCATCTATTGAAGGAAGAAGGTATACTTTGTAAAAAGTACTCAGCGTGGGTCTCCATATTTTAACCCAAACAACTTGCTTTGTAAGCTATGTTTTGGTTAGAGGATAAAAGTAGGCAGTAAAATTACAATACAAGACGCATGAGTGGATTGCGGGCGTCACAGAATAATATGATGATCGTAGTTTATATAGGCAACAGTTATCATTAACCACTACAAAATAAATACGACTACTACTATAATTTTACATTTGACGCGGCATAACTTATAAGAAAATTTAGTAAAATCACGGTGTAAACTCTTTACACATGATCACGGCAGTTGTAATACTGCCGAAATATAAGGAACTTAATAATAACAAATAAAATATGATAAGATGCGTGATTTTATTCAAGTGAAAATACTACATAATATTATAAACAGTAATAAATGAAAATTACTATATGACAGCTTTTGGTAATAGTTACGAAAAGCTGTCATATAGTGATGCAAGGAAAGCTGACAATATAGTAGTTTTTTTTATTTTCCAGATTACAAGCAAACAGCGTGTCCAGAAGATAAATCTATACTTACTGTATCACGTCGACCTACAAATAGCTATTATGACGATTAAACCAAAATATTAGACATTATTTACGAATACAATTAGTATTTATTATAATTAACTTAATATAAATTATAAAACATATTAACATTTAACAGAATTTTCATAATCCATAAAATTTATTCTTTCTTCATAAACTACAAAATTTACTTACACGTTATTTAACGTTTATTTACAAATAATCTACTACAAAATTATAGTAACTACCTACCTATATACATTAGTCTGCAATAAAGAGATTGTTTATACCGATATGATTGCATAATGCAATGCACTTTCTAAAATATATTTTATACGTATACATGTATTTTCTTATTTATTTTTGACCTTTATTTTAATAATTTTATAAATTTAGAGCAATTTCCATGTTAATATTATTGCAAAGATCGTATCTTTCCTTATTATATTTTAAGCTTCTTTAATCTGTTCTATAACCGTTCAATTTATAAGAATTTTATTGTAAGGTATGCTGTTATCTCTTACTTTATTAATAATGTTCATAGCATACAATTTCGTACAATAATGAATACGGATGGATTATCTATACTATTCTATGTTACTCAGTCGTGTAGAAAATAATTAAACTGATAAGTACGCCCACATGCTAAATTTAACCACAACAGATATTTTATTAAATACATATTTATACAAGGAACATAATCATAATCATATTTTATTATATAGAATAATATAATTGTATATTCAAGCTTTGTTTGTAAAAATCTATTTTTATTTGCAATGAAAATAGTATTCGAAACATATTATTTTATTATTTTACTGCGCCTAAATATAGATTTAAAATAAATTCAATTAAAATCCATCTAAAAATATTATTTACTCTTTTATTATAAACCCCAGTGTTCTACGTTTTTTAGCAAAGAATTTTTCGAAAATAACAAGTTTGTCAATTAAGATAGAAATTATATTACAAATTATATCGTAAACTGTATCTCCTTTCTAATGTAATATTTATTCTTTTGTTAATATAAGCCAATTTAATTACTTACATTGTGCATATATAATTGTATATGCATAATGTAAGTAATTAAATTACCTCCTTTATTCCTTCTTCCGTTTCCTGTTGCATACTGAGGAATACAATATACAAAATATTAGTGGTACAATCACAGCCAGTAAATTGATCTTTACCACAGATATCGAAATATCACATGTCATAACTATACTGTAAATGCTACAGCATCAAAAAAATTCACTAAATTTCTACTCAGAGTTTCTAGAAGCAAATTTAGGTTAAGAAAATTTTTAAGAGTACATAAAACGATATTACGGTAGTGTTAATAGACGTTCTCCGAGATTAATAAATAAATAGAGCAACATTATAACAATATAGTATAATAATACGTTTAATTTTCATACAAAATAGATAAAAATCTTTATTTTTCTGGTTAGAAAATAGATTTAAATTCTTTGTCCTGCAAAATTGTATTAGGATTTGTCTACGTAAATTTTTCTTACGTATAGAATGCGTAAGGTAAGAAAGTAATTCCCTATAGAACTAAGTTAATCGTCATGACGAATTTTGAAGCTGAAGTATCGTATAACGTACGTATCGTAAATATATACTAGAGTAACGTAATGAAATTTATTATGTAGATTTTCAATAAAGTCGTTTGTGTACCTCGACTCAGCTATTTCTGCCGTTTGTTTTCTAGATTTATAGGACATATCAATATTGCAATACACGGCAAGACATAAGGGTTCTCACGGACGTTACATGTAGACGTGATGTCCTTGTTGCTGTATTGATACTATATACTACTATACTGATATATTTTTTTTGTATTGCACATAGAAAATACCCAGTCTAATATAAATCATATTCATGAATACAAATGTTTTTACCGTGCAATGAAAAGAACTCCCAATCATACCATCGGTAAAGTAAATGGTAAAGTGCTAGGTTACCGAGGCCGTTAAAGGATGGTGAAACGAGGATTTATCTTATTTTGGGATCATAAGGGGTCATAAGACTATACACTCTCCTAGCACCAATCCACCCACAAATATAACCCATACTAATAATATAAATGCGAAAGTGCGTTTGTCTGTTACTTACCTATTTAGGACCCCTCCAGAGGGTCTTAATGAAACTTGATGTGAAGATAAATTGTATTACTAGGACGGAAATAATTTAGCTTTTGTGGCAGAAAAAAACAGATAAATTCGGGGATAAAAGCTAGTTCTGCAAAAAAAACAATACAGATAATGTGGACATTGCTAAACTTCATATGTGAACGGTCTTAAATAAGCAATTCTAAACAATAGAGCCAACATTCCTATATTAATAACGCTATAACTCCATCACGGAATCCATTTATTCTCGGTAAACCTAATCCGATTACCTTCCGCCCTTTGTCTAATGTATTGCAACGAGATATTGTATAGACCACAAGAGACGATGTCTCGAACAACTCGCTTCAAAGCGAACGTTCTATCGATTCGATTACTCATGTTATTGCAGTGTATATTTTCTTCTAATATTACAAAGGGACATATAGTGGGCGATAAAGCTCATTTGGTAAGTTACTCGCTCTTAGATCTCGTTACCTGTCGATATTCAATCTAAATTTTATCTTATTTACATGTGATTCCATATCTTTAATTAAGAAATCTGAACTAATTATATACATTTCTGCATATATTATATGAATCTGTAGCATGAATATTAATTCAAAAAAATTGATTTAGTATAAGTGACTAAAATATTTAGAAAAAAATGACCCCTCTTAATTAATGTAAAACGGCAGAATTTGTTTTTATTATTTCGCTACCTAATTATAAGAATGATTCATTTATTATATTCTACATATTATTTGAGGTAATAAATAGTCTTTGACTATTAGAGTATTATCAATTTATTTAATATATAATTTGTAATTGTAAATTTTTGTATTGTGTAGTTTATAAATTGTATATATTTATTTAAAAGTACTTATAGTGCTTTAGGTGTGTTGTATGGTGAATCATTGTGGGTGTCTAGAAATAGTTATAAATGTATCTCTATGTTGACCGCCCTGGTCGAGTTTGTTTGAGTCAGTCGTCACAATACAAGCGTAGAAATATATCCTGTTTTAACTAACTCCTATAGAAATAAAAACCGTGCAATAGGTATCTATTATCGAATGATAATACGTGATAATAAATGTAAGTGATATTCCACCTACAATACAAATATGGCCTTGATGGAAGATTTCGTTTCGCAGAATATACATAACTTTTTAATATATATAATTTATTAGAAATTATACATGTTGAGACCTGGTGTGTCTTGATGTACTAACTCTACTCAATATTTCACGACAACTTAGAAACAAATTCGCTGTCGCATTTAATATTAGTTAGGATTAAGATTCCTATTTATAAACAACTGATAGAAGTTTGATTGCAGTAAACAACAAGTCTCAGCATGACGTTAATTTAACTCCAATTCATCTTACACGTGTCAGACTCTAGACATTTATAGAGTACGTAGCAACTAAGCTCACCCACGCACGACATATAGCTATATTTTGAATTTTATGTTGGATTCTAATCTACTTTGATCTGACTTATATACAATATTCTTTGTTAATTTTAAACTTTCGTGTTTAATATACATTATTTAAATTATTAACCGGGTCTTAACACGAATAATTTTATGGCAAATAAAGGTATTTACCTCTCTCGACGTTTCGACTAGGTTGCACTAGCCGTGGTCACGAGCTGACTGGAGTAACAGCGATGTCAATGTAGATAGGTGACAGCAGTTTTTTCTTCATCTACCGTCACTAGATTGTTTAACGAAAGTTCGCGACACACAGCACTCACGGTATCCGTACACTTATTGACTATTGATGCTACTGAACTTTGCTTGAATTTATTTATGACTGGATTCCACGCAGATGATAATTTTAAGCCATCCTCTCTGTTGAAATTGGGATGTTTTTTAATTTCAATCGCCTCCCGGACCATTCGTGGGTAATAGTGACGATCAGTAGAGAGGTTCAATCCAGTGATTTGTTCCTGCGTTCAGTAGATGATCGGCAATCGCTGATTTGTGTGGTTGTCGATTTTTAACCGCTGCGATGTGCTCTTTGACTCTCTCGGCTATTGATCGTTTTGTTTGGCCAATATAAGAGCTACCACAACTACAGTCAATTTTGTAGACACCTGGAGCTTCGTAAGGTAGCTTATCCTTTGGTGAACGTAAATTGTTCCTTACTTTTGAGGGCGGATAATATACAGTCTTAATGGAGTATTTATTTAGTGCTGTTCCAATTTTGTCCGTTATTCCTCTTAAGTAAGTCATGTACGCTGGCTGCCTGTTCACTTCCGGTTTTTTAGCTTTTGTTACGCGCTTATTAAAATTATATTTATAAAATAATAATTATAATTATAGAAGCTAAAAAACCGGAAGCTCTTATATTGGCCAAACAAAACGATCAATAGCCGAGAGAGTCAAAGAGCACATCGCAGCGGTTAAAAATCGACAACCACACAAATCAGCGATTGCCGATCATCTACTGAACGCAGGAACAAATCACTGGATTGAACTACATGCGCCTAAGGTCCTCTCTACTGATCGTCACTATTATCCACGAATGGTCCGGGAGGCGATTGAAATTAAAAAACATCCCAATTTCAACAGAGAGGATGGCTTAAAATTATCATCTGCGTGGAATCCAGTCATAAATAAATTCAAGCAAAGTTCAGTAGCATCAATAGTCAATAAGTGTACGGATACCGTGAGTGCTGTGTGTCGCGAACTTTCGTTAAACAATCTAGTGACGGTAGATGAAGAAAAAACTGCTGTCACCTATCTACATTGACATCGCTGTTACTCCAGTCAGCTCGTGACCACGGCTAGTGCAACCTAGTCGAAACGTCGAGAGAGGTAAATACCTTTATTTGCCATAAAATTATTCGTGTTAAGACCCGGTTAATAATTTAAATAATGAATATTCTTTGTAATGATAATATAATTCCATAAAAATGTATTTCTTTTCTAAGATATCTATAACATTATTTAATTAGTTATCTTTAATTGAAAGTCGTTGTAAGTGTTGCTTATATACATGATATTTCACCATGGGTTTTTGACGGCGTGTGGTTGAGCCTATTTAAGTACATTGAGTCGGAAAGGTTTATAATGACTAGGATGATTTCAAAGTGAAACTTTGACAATATTTGTATAATAAATGAGCAACACAATTACACAGTGTTGCTTATTTAATTTATCATTAACTAGTTCTTTCTAGCTTCCTATTTATTTATCAGGATATAATGTTACCCTTTTTTTTAATATAATTAGAATAGAATAAAAAAATAGAATAGAAATCCATTTATTCAAATAAACTTACATTGAAGCACTTTTGAATAGTCATAACATTTTTTTTTTAATCTACCACCCATTCGGAATGCTGTCTCATCACAAGAAGAACAAGCATGAAACTTGTGTGTTGCTCTTTTAAATAATGTATTCTTACTTACAATTTAAGTTTAAGTGTGTGCATACAAACCACCGATTAGCACTAATTCAATGAAATAATAAAATAGAAAAAAAGAGAATGAATGCTTAATCCTCATTAGAGACCATCCTACGACCTTGTCACAGCTGTCCAAAGATTTCCTCTTAGTGTGACTTCTCCCTCCCTCTCAACATGCGACTAAATGTATAGATGGCCCCTTTCTTTAATTGTTTCAGACTGAACTAAAGAAACTATGTGAACATGCTTACACATGTTTCCATGACACCGTCATTATATGTGGAAAATCGGTCAACGAAGCTAGAACTTTTCTTGACTTATGTGATTTGTACGAATACTCCTGTGAATATAATATGGGTATGTATCGTGCCAATTTATTTTATGTGTGTAACTAGATTGATAGTTAAGAATTTTTATTTGTATATTAGCACTCAAATATATGTTTAATTACAAGCAGTATATGTACATTTCATTACATTACATTAGTGTACATTACACAATATTTAGATTAACAATTAAATATGGGTTAACTTGCATATGTGTGTTACAGCATGGTGTTAAACCTTTGACATAATCTCTATAAGAATAAATTTCTCTATTACATCTATTTCAATAAAATTAAATCGATAATTCTTGTATACATCTAAATATCTCAGAAATCGGTTTAACTATTTTTTTTTTAGTTTACAGGCATGTTAAAGAAGAAGAGGGCATCTGTCCAAATCCTAAGGAGTTAGGTACTGGCATCGGATAACAGTTTAATAAAAAATCCTGTTCTAATATAGCCACAATTTAATACAGAAAATATAGAGTTAGAGTTAGAGATAATAAGAATCTTTTATACTGATAATTAAATATACATAGCTTTCGTTACATTAGAATCATTTATTATCACAATATACAATCTCAATTTAAGCTGTTCCAAAGGATTCGAATCTATTATATTTTTATCTTATATGAATGGCCTACAATTAGGCACTAAAGCAAAATCTGGAACAAAAATATCAGATTTTCATAAAACACAACAATTTACAAAAACAGGATTTTTTTAGCATTAGTCTTAAACGGTGTATAAATAGAAACCCAAGTAGAATAGTCATGATATGCATCACTTTTGACAGGGAAGCTACAAAGTTGAAATCTATATATAAATAATAAAAGTAACTCATGAGACTGATGAAGTATTATGAAAGATATATAAGACTTAAAAATTATACATTGAAAAATGACTGATGAAATATCATGAAAGATACAGAAGACAAAAAAAATATTCTTTGAATTTATGTATATCTTGTCTATGCGAACAGAGATGAAGGAAGGGAAAAACATTATACGCCGACCCTGAACAAATAAATCGGATAAGGAAGAAACAGATGATGATGTTGTCTTGTCTGTGCGCATTATACTCACAATCGGCTTAAACAATTTAGGTGTGAATTTCACTAGTTTAGTTAAGTTTTATTTCAATCAGATTACAAAGATGAAAGTTATATGGTTACGAAGTCGCGACATTTTAATACAGATTTTGCAATTTAGCACGTAAAAGTTGTAGTATTTTTTCACGAAATATATATTTCTTTGTATAATATATATACTTAGAACCTATATAAATAATCAATAATAATAATAAGCCTAGTTAATCCACACAGCGCCTTCTAGTTAAGCTAAGCGATTTTCGTGTTGTCGATACTAGACAACGGATACGAAAACTTGAAATATTTTTATTTGTAAATTCTGATTTGTTTTGTATAAACGTACTTTATATACATAGAAAACACCATCAACCATTACATACAATGCAACACTCACTATGTTTCCAATAACAATTGACTTGAAACATATGACAAATGTCATCAAATTTCGCATAACCGAAGTTGTCATCATAACCACAAACTGGATTGAAACGTTTCTGACATAACAAGGCGACTTCACACCATGCATTGATAGCGTCGTTATTCATTGACAAACTTGATGTAATCACAGGCTTACTTTGCATGGACCGACGAGACATAAACTGGAAGAAGAGAAGCTCTTAATATTATTTTTTAGCAAATTCAAATTCAAAAATCATTTATTCATGTTTTATTATATTATTCATTCATATTTTAGCCGCTCATATAACTTGAATTGCAAAACAAGTTGACGTCAAGCTTAATTGTAAATGACAAATACATGAACAATAAAATGGTCAAATACGTCATCATGTGACTCATGCACTGCCATTCTGAAGGAATAAGATGTTATGCTTCCGTACCCTGTAATTTCCGTACCCTGTAATGTAGAATACTGCTTACTGCTTGGCGGCTGGAATAGGTGACCCAGAAGTTGACGACTTTTAGAAAATAGTACACAGTCATTCTGAAAATTAAATAGCTACTAAAGATTTTTATTCTAATACAGACAGGACAGAAATTAAGTTATAGTAAATAACATTAAATAATCTATTAATATGAATAAGCAGAAATTAAAAGCATTTTAAAATAGTATTAATTTATTTATATGACCTATAGATGGAAATGTATTTGTATAAATAAGTACAATAAATTAAAATATTTTTATAACTTGAACCTCTTCAAAAAACTCAGTACACTACTCATATTTTTTCTACTAACGGCATAGGATCTGTTCTATCATCAAAATTTTTCAAAATAACATTTTTAAATAGGGTTCCATATATTGGAATTTTTTTTCCATATCTAAAAATAATATTGTCTACCATTTCTTCATCTCCATTATTACGTCTAGTTGGTTTAGGTACCTCAACTTTTTCTGGTAACTTCGGCTTGTCAACAGTTGTAGTAAAATTTTTAACTAATTGTTTAATTAACTCTTCATTATTTTCAACAATTCGGAGGAGATGTTCCAACGCCTGACTATGTTCGATCAATTTATCCTCTATAAAGTTGTTTAAGACTTTCTTTTGCATTGACGTGTCGCGCTTCTCAATTCTCTGGCAAAATTAAAAAGTTGCACTTGTATCCGCTGATTCTAATACGTCTATAATTAGTTAATATTTATTTGTCTCACCTTTGGAGCATCTATTGGATAGAGAAATATATCTTCTAAATCCTCTATAGCTATTTGATAGGACGACTTTACTATGAAAATTATCATGATACCTAAGACAGTAAAATTAATTGAATTTGCTATTAATTCTTAGTTAAGTTTTTAAATTGAATAAATCAATAATATCTCTCACCATAAATTGTAGACTTCATAACGATAGACTTGTAATTCAGGGCATCTAACAAATAGTCCAAGCGAGACACTTCAGCCACTTATAGTGTAGGAAATTGAGAACTACGCTTTAAGTATCTTGATATTTGATATGTTTATTTATTTCAAGCAGATTTAAATTAAGAAAACTAAACCTGCTTTAAGTAATTTACTTTAAAAATAAACCTTTTTATGATATTAAAGAAAATATAATTTTCTATTTAAAGATAAAAAAAGAAATTATTATTTAACCCTAAATTCTGTGTTTATATTTACCGATTGATTATTGACATTGACCGTTTTTACGACATAAATGTAGTTTTATTTTTATATAATTATTTCATCAGTATTTTATTTTGTAAAGTTTTGCACACCATAAACTGGCGCATTACAATTGTGCTATGTAGAAATGTAATTAATTATTTACAGTGTTTGCCTGCAAATAAATTATTCATTCATTCATTCATTCATATGAGTAATAATGTAATAACTGTGGAAATGAGTTTATTCAGTATCTAAAGGACTGGAAACAGTCAGTGAAAACCACCATTTTTGTCTAGTATTAGTATTATTTATATAAAGTACGTTTACCTATATCATTTTGTTTATATTATTGTATATTCATAAACTGCAAAATGTTATTACGCAAAGTAAAACTGTACTCATTTAAATTTTGTGTTGTCATGCGATAATAAGGCAATAACAAATTTAGACTAACTAATACATTGTTTAAAATCAGTTCATTTACCAACTGACTTCAAAGAAAATAGATTTTTTTTAATAAATCTCAAGGCAAAATTCTGTATGTGTATTAATATTTTCTAATATTATGGTCAATTTGCCATCAATTGTATATTGTCATCTTGAGGTCATTTACTCTCATTTTTAGTCTAACCTAATTTCGTTGTGAATGAAGTGTTTATGTATAGCAATTATTTGTATAACAGAGTGTTAAATTAAGTGAAGATTAAAAAATATTTTAACACAAAGGTTAGAGAATAGCAACTGACTCAAGAATCTCTTGCTTTTAACAACTATGTTAAAAATTATAAATTTAGTATTCTATAATATTTTGTTTAATTTTCAAATACTACTTGATCTTACTTTTAGCATTAGAGCGATCAAGATTGTTAAGAGAGTATTGATTCTCGAAATGTGATTTATTGTTACTAAGCACGTTTTGATTGAATTATGAACGTTGATACGGATCTCAGTTGCGAGCTAAATTGAACTATTACTCTTGTATTTTTGCGGTGTGACATTAATTATGATTCCCGCAAATAAAGTTATAAATTGTGAATTATTTAATACTTATTATTAAATGTTTTTTTTATTGCTGTCAACATGTAATTATACTAAATAAGGTAAGATTAATACTAATTTCCATACATTTGATAATAAATAGCTAATAATAACAAATATTAATAAATAACCTAGTACCTATCATTGAAATATGATCTTTATAACCGTTTAAAATAACAAACTTTGAACAGAATTGTAAAAGAGTATCCAAATTGAAGATAAAACCACATATCTGTAAAGTTATACTATCCCATGACATTATTCCATAATATAAACATATCAAAGTGTATCTTATAATTAAACCAATATTAATAACATTTATTTAAGGGGGTCTTCCTATGTGATGGGTTGAAAAAATCGATTTTTTTTTTTTTTCATAAATTGCTCCCTTAACATGTCTAGAATACGGTAGTAAAGCGATTTTAGAAAATTCGAAGTCGTTTTAAAGATACAGCAGGTAAAAGAAAGAGCGGTTCGGAGCGGTGAGTTGGCAGTTAGAGACCGGGCCTATTGTGTACCGTCGGCTTTATACCTGGCCTCCCTTTTATTAATATATTTGTTTATACAAGTTTAGACACGTTTCTACAGACTTAAACAGAAAAGGAGCAGGTAAACTTACTGATAAAGTTATCCAAGAAATTACAAAATTCTACGGATTAGCAATTCGACGCCATCCAGATTCGCTTGAAGATATGAGAAAGGAAGTTTGGGCAACGTACTATCACAAATGTTCTTCTGATGAAAACCCTCAGCATCAATTTTGTCCAGAAGGCGAAGACAGTTGGTGTAAATGGCGTAAGGCTGAAGCTAATAATGAACTGGACCAATTTCATCACGATAAACCACCTCTAATTCCGCAAGTCCAAGAAGCTATCAAACCGGTTTTCGAAGATTTATCGAAAGACGAATTATTAATTCGTTGTTTAGGAGCAGAGACACAAAACAATAACGAATCTTTGAATTCTTTGATTTGGACTTTCGCTCCTAAACATCTTCATTCTGGTCCCAAAGTTGTTGAAATTGCTAGCTACTTAGCAGTTATTATCTTTAATGAAGGTTTTCAAGGTATTTTAAAAGTTATATCGATTATGGGATGCCCTGTTGGTCGTGAAGCCCAAGCGTATGTTGAGAAACGGGATGAAAAGCGAATCTTACGCTCTGAGCGGCGCGTAAGTGATGTCGTTAAACAAGCCAGGATTGACTCAAGAGCTGAACAATCTGCTTTAAAAGAGTTTCACGAGGAAGAGGAAGGAATACTCTATGGATCAGGCATCGCCGATTGAGAGTAAGTTGATATTTTAATAGTTTTTAACGGACTTGAAACTTTAAACGCGTTTTTCTCAAAACTGTGTTTTTCAAACTTTCCTCCATTGTATCTCAGAAACGGCTGGACCGAATTACTTGAAATTTACAGGGCACACTCAATATATGTAAATGCATGGAATGAACTATTATCAATCGAAAATTTTCAAAACTTCGATTTTTTCATAGCAAAAAAAAAAAAAAAAAAACGCCTAATTTGCAACTTTTATTTCAAATGTCTATCAAAAATCCAATTTTTTTTATATTCATTTGATTATAGGTCATTCCGTGCTTTTAAGCCTACAAATTAAAACGCCGTTTTTTTTTTTTTTCAGATAAGCCGATCAGCCGGAATCGTGGAGGAAGTGGGAGCTCTTTTTTTCGAGGCGGGGGTGTTCAGAGCGCTGTAACTCTAGTTTGACTGAATATTTTTAGCTGAAATTTTATATTTATACTGTCCAAATATGTGTTAATAAATGATAAAAAACTTGAAGCTCTAAATATTTACTGGTCGTAGAAAAAAAATCCTAAAATATCCCTAAAAAACAGGCCGTCACATAGGAAGACCCCCTTAAAAAAATCCGTGTGAAAAATATTTTACTGGACTTTCTTAGACTTTCTACCACGCATGGAAGCTGGCATGAACATAGAAAAGTAAATAGATATAAAAAGAACTAAAATATATACAATACAAATATTGTATTTAAAATTATGTATCAGAAAATAATGCCATGAATTTCCATAAATAGTAGACGCAATGAAATGTTGTTTTATTAAGCGATAACCAAGAAAATTGTTTTTATAATACAAGTGGGAAACATTCGGGTAGATAAGTAGGTAACTACATGTTACAATGCAGTGCCATGAAAATATCACTAGGTAGGTGAAGTGTGAAATATAATATATTAACATATTTCTAAATTTCCAATATTAGAGCATATGTCAGTACTATGTCGTAAAAGGATATATCTATGTATACATATATAATAATGATAGATAAAATTCGATAAAAATACAGCACAAACAGCTCATGTTCTAAAATTCTGATAACTATTCTCAAAACTGCAACTAAACTGTACTAATATATGTATCTGTGTAAAAAGGCGTATTCTGTTTTTAAAATAAACAGCCGAAAAGATCATAATTAAATTTGGCATGTGGATTGATTATTACGGAGACAGACATAAGTTATCTTTTCTCTAAAAATAAGCAAACTAATTTGCTGGTAACAGCTAGTATAGTTTTACTATTTATATAGGTACGTAGGTATATCTAAAGGCTAGAACTTGATTCTACCGCCTAAATTGTGTCATTTGTACGCAAAAGTTTGACATTTGCAAGGGTTGACATTTTACGTTTTGGATAGGTATTATATTTATAGTATCACACCACATTATTATTAGGACGACCCTGAAAAAAATAATCCCGTTTAATCCAGTTTAATATTAAACATAATAAATTATATGTGGTTATTCCCTTTTTGGTTTTGACGGCTCATCTTATCGTGATTAAATTTAGCACAAATATGGAATATGACGTGGAGAAAGGCATGGATTACTTTATCCGGATCAAAGTAATACAGTCAAATTAAGTCACGGGAAAAAACCAGCCCCAAATCTAGAAGGGGGCAACACAGGCCCATGCCCCAAACACAATTATTACACTTACTATACTGCCTATAAAGTACTTGGGCGACACAGCTTTGCTACGCGTTTTTATTTTTTCAAGATCTATTTATTCACTATAAACACCTAATTAGATAAAATTAAGTAAGTAAGGTAGGTATCCTTACTTACTTAATTTTACCTAAGTATAAAATTAGACCCAAATCGACAGTTGATTTCGAGTCACACAAATTATTTGTAAACGGATTTGCTTATCTTTAGTGTAATAGGATGTAACTTCTAACAATGATATTGCAAATTTATTTCAGCTTTTCTTTTATACCTAATATCATCTGTAAACAGTCACAGTGAATCAATAAAGGTTAGTAAATGTTTCACATTATATTCCTTACATGGAAATCCACGTCAATTACTTTTTATATAATGTACACAACGCTATCTAGTCGTAAGTAGAGCTATTATTATGAGTACTAACCAATTAATATAAATACTTAGTTATATATATTTTTTTGTAAATATG